GGCTGCCCATCCGTTTCCGCATTGACTTCAAAGTGTTAATGCTTACCTATAAGGCCCTAAACGGTTTAGGACCTCGATACTTGGCAGAACGCCTGCTCCCACCTAGATCTACTTGGATCACCCGCACGAGCCAGGAGGTGAGGCTGAGGAGCCTAACGCCGAGGGAGGCCCAGAAGGAAAGAACACGAAATCGGCCTTCTCGGCAGTGGCTCCTTGTCTCTGGAATAACCTTCCTCCGGCGATCCATGCGGCCCCTACGCTGGGCACTTTCAAGAGTCAACTAAAAACGTGGATGTACATTCAGGCCTTCCCTCGTGTCAATGCTTAATTTTTTCTTTATTTTTTTCCTCATTTATTATTTCTTTTATTATTGTATGTGTTTGGGTTGTTTGTAAAATTCTTGTGTTTTTATTGTATATACTTTTATTGGAAGCTGCCCAGAGTGGTCGACCAGACCAGATGGGCGGGATATAAATCAAATAAATAAATAAATAAACATAGGTGTCACATCCCCCATTGCCAGTTTGCAGATACGGGGGGGGGGGAGCTACTTCACCTGTTGGTTTCCGTGCTGTTTCAGAGTCCACACTTTCCAAACTTGGCCATGTTTTATTAGGTTACATGCTGTCCAGTGAGAACTAACTTCGAGCGATCCCGATAGAGCTTTTCAAGGTGAGGTATTTAAGGAGTGGAGCCTCCTGACTCCATTATCCTGTGATAAAACTGGGGCAATAACGATGGGAAGAAGAACTGTGTGGATCATCATGAGCTCCTGGGAGAGAATGTGGCACAAAATAATCTAATGAGATGCATATATTTGTTCATCTTCATTTTATCTTCCTTTTCTATTTTACAAACATTTAAGTATGTCACATTTGAAACCCCATAGGTTGGAATTAGATTCTCCCAACAAGGATCCCAGATGCTCAGGAAACCGAGGGCTTTGTTCTGTATTGACTGATTTTTCTGTGTGTCCTATTAAATTAGCCGGAGGGGTGGAGAGGGACAAATAACGGCTGGAGGCTCCTCAGAGCCATTTATGAATGATGACGATGGTGTCAAGTCAATCCTGACTTATCGCGACCCTTTTCAGGGTTTTCCAAGTAGAGAAGACTCAGAAGTGTATTACCATTTCCTTCCACTACGTGGCAGCCTCGGGTCTGTGCAGCTTGCCCAAGGCTACCCAGGCTGGCTCTTCTCCCTGGAGAGGCCCAGTGGGGGAATTGAACCCCCAGCCTCTTGCTCTGCAGCCAGATAACCTCAACCACAGAGCTATCCAGCCAGCTGCTCTTTATGAAGCACCTAGATACATCTCCATGGGGAGGGGACGGAAACTGGGGAAAATGTAATTTTTTTGATTTGGGGGGCAGATTTTGGGGTAGTGTTTTCACACTAAAAAGGGGACACAGGACTGCCAAATCCCCCCCAAAAAAGTCTGCAAGGCCCCGTAAAGGTAAAGGTTCCCCTTGACAATTTTTGTCCAGTCGTGTTCGACTCTAGGGGCCGGTGCTCATCCCCGTTTCCAAGCCATAGAGCCAGCATTTTGTCCGAAGACAATCTTCCGTGGTCACGTGGCCAGTGCGACTTAGACACGGAACGCTGTTTACCTTCCCGCCGAGGTGGTCCCTATTTATCTACTCGCATTTGCATGCTTTCGAACCGCTAGGTTGGCGGGAGCTGGGACAAGCGACGGGAGCTCACTCCGTTGCGTGGATTCGATCTTACGACTGCTTGGTCTTTGACCCTGCAGCACAGGCTTCTGCGGTTTAGCCCACAGCGCCACCACGTCCCTTCAAGGCCCCATAAAGGAAATGGTATAAATACTTCCCACAATATTCGTTCTGAATCTTCTGTGTACCTTTTGCTTGTTTTAAAGACTTGGGCCCAGAGGGCAGAGAAATGACTCTCTCAAGCGGGGTATTTCAGGGTCAAATATTCTTCGGTGTCCCTCGGCGGTTTTCTAGACCTTCCCTGCCGTCCGAAGAGGACGGTCCTCTCCCTCCAGAACCTCTTGTGTGTTTTGAGCTCCGTTATGGTTATGTGCCGTCCAGTGGCCTCTGACCTGGGTGACCCTTCGTGGAAGCTTCCATCATTTCTGAGCACGGGACTCTGGACTGGTAAGGGATGAAGGAGAGCTGACCTTCAAAACATCTGGAATATTTTTGTTTTTAAAATTTTGGAGGGGCTGCTGTTGTCCTGTAAGCTTAAAGGCAGTAGGAAGCCCTCTGGTTTAGGAAAATCTTCTCCCCACCAGCCACCACCAGCTTCTTACGGTTAGTCAGATGCAGTCACTTTGCCTCCTCATACATTTTCTGAGCACGGAGCGCCAGCAAATTGGTTTGCCCCGTTTCTCTTGCTGCCGACAGAACGCGTGCCTGATTCGCAGGAGAATCTGGTTTGGTGCAGACATGGTGCTCGGATGGAGACCGGGTTTGCTCCCTCTTAAAAGTTGAAGGCGGGGGTGTCTTGGGCAAATAGGCGTACAGATTTCTGTCTCTCTCTGTCTCCATAATTAGGATATTGTTTTCCCCCTCCGAACTGCCGGCCGTGCCCAAGCCTGGCACGAGAGGGGAGAAGGTGTATAGGCTCTGAGGTCAAGCCGTTGTCTGAATGTGTTGCAAACGGTTTCCCGGGGAAACAAGACAGCCGCCTGCCTCGCTGGCTGCAGCATCTTCCGAGCGGCATCTTTTCTTTAGGCGCAGCAGCAGCAGCAAAGTACCTTGTGGTGTCGGGGAAGAGGGGGGGTGCAGCCGAAACACAATGTGGAGGCGAAAGGCGAAGACGAGAAGGTAACATCTCAGAGCGCAGCACCCCAGAGGATGAAGAAGCATACTGCCAGAGTGACACCGTTAGAACCCTTCTGTCTTTCCACATTAAACCCACCTAGATCAGACGGTAAATGCAATTATTATTATTATTATTTTAAAAACCTCCTATGTGCGTTCCCTCAGGAAAGGAATTAGCGCGCCTCTTATTCTCATTAGTCCTAAAAGCAGCAATTAAAACAACAACTACTACATACTGTTACGAAAGGGCCGTTTGTGAACGGGGGGGTTTGGGGATGTTTCGGAGAGAATTCATTTCTTCATTTTGGTTTAGAGTCCCCCCAAATGTCTGGTTTTCACCTGTTTTTAGGGGTTGTGGGGGGCAATAGGGAGGGACAAGATTGCATTGAGGGTTGGGGGGGGGGAGGAAGAGTTGGACGGCTTTCATGATTTTGTCCTTGAAGTGCTACCAGACGGGCTACGTCCTCGCAATCATCTTCCAGTGCAAAGTCTTTAATTTTCCTCTGTTTGAAGTGTTGTGTTGCCTTGTGTTACTCTGGAAAGGTTACCTACCTGTCTTGAAGGGCTGGCAGGGTTACGACAGCCCTTAGGAAACAAAATTGTAAAATAAAAACCCAGAGTATCTTTCTAAAATGGCACAGCCGTGTGTGATTTTAATGCAGCTTTGAATGAGAGTGTGAATATTTTTTGCTTGTTTCAGTATTTCAACTTCCATGTACTTTCCCAGATGTGTGTTCTTGTTAACATGGGATTAGCCCTCCTTCTGGCATTATTGCCATGCAAACATTTACTTCCCTGGAAGAAGAGAAGTTTTGTGTGTGGAGGGGGGGAAGTCCTTCTGTATGGCAGCTGAAGTGGGTTTGGGCAACCTTTACAGTGAGAGAGTCAACAGAGCATCAACTGATGCGGCCAAGACACTGACTAACAGACCAAGGTTCATGGATGGTATGCGTACCCCCAGAATCTGAGGCTGAGGTAGCTGGATTTAAGTTTCTTTTTTTAAATGGACATCTTAAGTGTTAAGCTTACACAGTATTTCATCTGAAATTATATCCAAGAGGAGAGTAAAGGAAGAGATATACCAGATGAACCCTGAATTTAATTTCTTGGAAATAGCACCTTTGAGATAACAATTTTACTCGCTGGTTTTTGGAAACTGTCTTAGAATAAATAGAATTGTAGTATTGGAAGGGAGCTTAAAGATCATCTAGTCCAGCCCCCTTCCAGTGCAGGAAACCCACAGCTAAAGCATCCTTGACAGGTGGCTATCTAACTTCTGTTTGAAAGCTTTCAACGAAGGAGCGTCCCGTTGTTTTGCAAGGTTGTCCATGTCGCAGAAGGAAATGTCTTTCCATCAGAAATTTCTTTCTAATGTTTAGTCAGCATCTTCTGTTTCGCCATCTGAATCCATTGGTTTGTGTTCCACCATCCGGAGCAGCAGAAAACAGACCTTGCTCCATCATCCACAGGATCTCCCCTCAGATATTGGAGAATGTCTCTCATCTTCTCTTTCCCCTCCCTTCTCAGGCTAAAATGTGCCCGATTCCCTCCGTCGTTCCGCACAGAGCTTGGTTTCTACACCTCTATAAACGAAGAATGAAACCGAATCATGAGGGTCCAATTCCTTTTAGAAATGGCAACAGAAATAAGGCAGAATTGGGGTGAGGTGCATAATAAGTAACCTGAATGGCCAGAAACTTATTGGGGTTTTACTTCAGATTAAGCAAAATCATGTGTATACGACAGCAAATTGCAGCTAATTAATGAAGTCCTGATCAATGTGCCTGGTCGCATCCAGTCAACCTAGCTGGACGCACAGATAGGCGTGTGAGTGACATGTTCTTAATTAGCTGCAATTTGCTACTGCTCAATCACACCATGTCACATCCATTTGAATTAGGATTATGGTCACTTGTTATTTCCGAAATGTTACTGGTGGGGTTTCTTTTTTTAAAAAAATTATTTTAAAGCAAGAACCATCATACTTCAATAGCATATGACCTTACTTTTAAGTCATGTAATAAGATCATCATAAATTTTACTGATGGGTGATTAGCATGTTGTTTTTAGAAGTCACATTTCCAGACTCTGGATTGGGCATTTTATTTCAGCCCGCGCTTGGTCAGTGGCCAGAACAGTGACTAAGAACAGGACAGAATGATTAAATGGGCCACATAAAACCTTATTGCTAGAAACAAATAGACACATCTTTGCCTCATGCACCAGCGATGTTTCTTTAATGCATGTTGTAAATTTTTTCATTGTGAAGGGGGAAACAAAAGATCATAGACTCATTGAATAAATGAGTTGAAGGGGCCTCTAAGGTCATCTAGTTGGCCCCCTTGCTTAGTCCTGCAATCCAGAGTAAACAGATTTGACAGAGGGTTGTCCAATTTTCTCTTGAAGGCCTCCAGTGTTGGAGGGCTCACTGCTCTCAAGGTCCTTGGTTCCATTGTCGTACTGCTCCAACAGTTGAGACTTTTTTCTTGATATTCAGCCTAAATCTCAAGCTTGTTGTTGCTTGAGCCTTTATTTTAACAGATCCTTCTCCATATGACTACCGGTCCAAAATTCTGGGTGCAAAGGTCTCTCGGTCATTTCTCCCTTTGAACGGCTGTCACATAGGCTTGACTCTATTCGCTTCTGATGTCTAGATTTGCGGAAATCAGCACAACCTCACAGAAAGGGCCCTGCCAGGTCCATTGAACCCGGCAAACGTTTCCAAAAGGTGCTCAGCCCGTCTCGGGAGCTGGAGAAGCAAAGGATGCAGAGCAAGAAGAAAGCAAACTTAGGGAACAGGATGAGTTGGGGGCTTTTTGAGAGCTTCAACAACATACCCAGTTGCCTGCAAGGGAAATGTTTCAGCATCAAAACCAGGAATCCGCAAGTATGTCTTACTTATCTACTTCCCAGTCCCTTTTAAACCCCCCCTTTATTCGTATCAGAGTGTTGCACGATTAAAAATTAAGGACATATGGGTAAAATTCAAAACAAGTTAAAATGTTAAGATTATTAGACTGTTTTTGAGCAGAAGCGGGCTAGTTCAACAGCTTTATCTTGGCCATTTTCCCGATCCTCTTTTGTACATATGGTGGGGTACAAATTGCATGGATGCACATCCTTGTAGCATGGATTAAATTTCTCCACAGTCACCAGAAACATTGTCCTGTATACAAGTAGTACCATTTTGCTTGGTTACTCTTTGATCTTCCATGTGGTTTAGTTGTTAAGTTCTGTCCGATGCTTCGTGACCAGAGCACGCCAGGCCCTCCTGTTTTCCACTGCCTCCTGGAGTTGGGTCAGATTCATGTTGGTCATTTCGATTACACTCTCCAACCATCTTGTCCGCTGTCATCCCCTTCTCCTCTTGCCTTCACATTTTCCCAACATCAGGGTCTTTTCCAGGGACTCTCCTCTTCTCACAAGATGGCCAAAGTATTGGAGCCTCAGCTTCAGGATCTGTCCTTCCAGTGAGCACTCGGGGTTGATTTCCTTTAGAATGGATAGGTTTGTTCTCCTTGCAGTCCAGGGGACTCTCAAGAGTCTCCTCTAGCACCACAATTCAAAAGCATCAATTCTTCAGCAGTCAGCCTTCTTTATGGTCCAGCTCTCACTTCCATACATCACTACTGGAAAAACCGTAGCTTTGACTATGCGGACCTTTGTCAGCAAGGTGATGCCTCTGCTTTTTAAGATGCTGTCTAGGCTTGTCATCGCTTTCCTCCCAAGAAGCAGGTGTCTTTTAATTTCGTGGCTGCTGTCACCATCTGCAGTGATCATGGAGCCCAAGAAGGTAAACTCTGTCACTGCTAAGCAAGACAGCAAGGACCAAACTCCTCATGTGCTGATGAGGAACAGAAATCTCAGCTGGGTGACAGGACGAGCTACATTTGTGGGTCTGAAACGCCAAAGGGAAAGATTTGAATGAAAATGACCCCTTGACTTACTACCTTGCACGGTTGGAAGAGCCACAAGCCATGTGGTTTGAACAGTGAAATGCACGCTCTTAACTGGCTGCAGAAAAACGTCTGGCCAAGTTTGCAAAAACTAGAAATGCTTTATATTATTCATAGCTTTGGATTTCCCCTTTGTCTTCAGAAAACTTACATCTTACACTGGCTGGTGATCCATTCCTGGGAAGGATTCAAAGTGCTGGTCCTCCTAACTTACAAAGCCCTCAACGGATTGGGTCCAAACTATCTCAAGGATCGTGTCTCCCTTTATGAACCTGCTTGAGTATTAACATCATCAAGAGAGGCCTTTTCCCCTGGTCTCACCACCTTCACAAGTGTGCTTGGTGGGGACACAGGAGAGGGCCTTCTCTGTGGCTGCTCCTTTAGACTCTGGAACTCACTCCCACTGGAGGCCATCCTGGCCCTATCTTTGCTGTCCTTCCTCAAGCAGGCAAAACCCCTTTCTCTTCAGGCAAGTTCTCCTTGAGCGGGGTGGGAGTTTTTAAATGGATGGTTGTGCCTTACAGCTTTGAATGTGTTGTGGTGTTGCTTACTTTTTTTTAAGTATGGCATTTTTTTTTCATCCCTTTGCATTTGTATACTCCCTGTTGTTTGCTTTAAAACGGCCCTTTAATGATGGAAGACACCTAGGGTCCTTTTTTGAAGGAGAAACGTGAGGTTAAAGAAGAATTTAAATAAAAATAAATGAATCATAATCTTGATGCCAAAGAAAATCAGCTTGCTTTTGATACTCTTACTTTGCTCAAACGGGATGTCCAAAGCTTCCGTGTGGAATCTTTAAAACCACTAAGAAAACGGATTAGAATCTGGCTCTTGTGATTGGTGCCAGACTGGGAGAAAAAGAAAGTGTTTTTATATCTCAAAGAAGCTGCGTGTAGCCTTCACGTTTATATCCCACGCATGTGCCAAAGCCTGCTTCCTGTTACCAGTCGGGGCTTTTAACTGAGATACAGCCATGACTTGATTCACCAAACAGGTTCACTTCATCGCCGTGCATCAGCCGGAGAAAATGGGTGAACTGCGGCCCAGAATTGCATTGACAGTGATGGAGACTTCCAGGCAAAGAAGCGACATTCAAGGGGATCCATTAAATTGGGAAGAATATTTCCCGCAATATAAAGGTTTGCGACGTTGT